CCTAATGTTGCCTTGATGATGTTAATGTTGTTGATTTGTTGTATCCAACAGAGACAGGAGCGCTTCAGTGACTGTTCAGCCTTGCTGGATCTGGAGAGAAAGGTAATGCATCCCTGCTGATGATGTTACCTGTTGTTGTTGTTGTTGTTGTTGTTGTTGTTGTTGTTGTAGCTTCAACTGCCTCACTACTGCCACCCCTGCTGTCGGTTGACACTCTCTCCTCTCCTCCCTCCACTTGAACCACTTTCTCACCTGTTTCCACTCACCTTTTGTGGCTCTTCTTCTCTACATCACTCCCCCCCCCCACTCTCCCTCACGTCTCCCTGGCATCAGGACCGGAGGATGTTGGAGCGGCGAATGGCAGAGCTGGAGGAGGAGCTAAAGGTGAGGAGACATTCTTATCATGGCCACAGACACTTTGCATGCTTTTGCTTGATTAGCTTGGCTTTAGCTTGAGCAGGGCAGCAGTTTTGTGGAGGCAGAGTTGTTTAATACCGTACACTCTCTCTGAAGCTGTTTTCAGGAGGTGTGAATATCTTTTTCTGTTACAGGTGATAGATTAGTTTGGGTTGTTTGTTTTTCACATGAATAAATGTTTCTGTTTGCCAACCTAACTACCAATCTACCTCAACCTGGTGTTTTTACCCACCTGACCTCTACACTCTCATAATTGTGAATGTGAAATGATACCATGACAACAAAAGTATGCTTGTTTGATATTTTGCCATGAATTATATGAGAAGACTGATATCACTCTCATTTCTTTATGGTAATTATAAATCTACCACCACCAGCTGGTAGCTTAGCTTAGCACAAAGACTGGAAACAAGGGAGCTAGTGTGGCTCTGACTAAGGGTAATGTCAGTCTCTGCTGGTTGATTGTGAAGCAAATATAATAGGGAGCAATCAGCCATATCTGGATGAGACAGATGGTGCTAGGTGCAGGAAAAGAGCACAAGCTGTTATCAAACGTTATCCAAAACATAATTTATTTTCACTGCTACTATTGGGTAAGCGATATCGTAGCATCAAGGTACTAATAGGTACACCCCTATTAAAGCCAGCTTCTGGCAATAAGACGTTTTAACAGGGACAGGTAGTCACTAACCCACCGTGCTCTCTCTTCCATATTTCAGTTTTTGATTATTGTTTATATTGTAATACCATGTGTACCTTTGTGTGTGATAGCATGACATTACTGTACTATACTGTGTACCTGAGGCTTAGGGAATAAGTTTTTCATTGAATGAAAATGCACTTGTGGCATTGTCATGCATACACCCATACATTTCTAGTTAGCTAGAAATTGTCCAGCACACAACTCCAGCTTCATACTGGACGGACTGGTAATAGTGGTATCAATCTTCTCATCTAACTCTCAGCAACAAAGAAAATAAACGTATATCCCAAAATGTCAAACTACCTGAGGATTTGTTTATTAGTTCTGCTTCCAAGAGAGCAAGATGGATAACAACTGAAATGATCAGAAATAATGATCCCTGTGGTTTGTTTGTCCACATCTCAATCAACCTGTCTTCAGCTCTCATCATTGTCTCATTCCATGACCAAACTTATGAGAGTATGGGAGCAAAAGAAAAACAACCTCTCCTCTCATCTTAATTTGTGGTAACAGGTTTGTTTGACACATTTGTGCATCACTATGCTACAACAAGTTTCATGACAATCAGGCTAGTAGTTTCTCTATAATCCTGCTAACAAACAAACAAACAAACAAACAAATCCCCTGGCGGAGGTAATTAAATTCAATCTGGTTTCATATCTTGGTTTGTTTTTAACGTGAGTTCAATTCTTACCACCAGGTTCTGGTTGACCTGAGAGCAGACAACCAGCGTCTCAAAGATGAAAATGGAGCACTGATCCGTGTCATCAGCAAACTCTCCAAATAGACGGAGAAAGAGAGAGAGAGAGAGAGAGACACACACGAAGAGCAGGGAACCCCCTCCCTCCTTCCCTCCATCCATCCCTCCCTCCTTCCACACATTCCTCCCAGTGCCAAAGAGCGAGCGAGAGGAGGGGGGGAGCAGCAGAATGTCCTACGTACATGAACACCACAGCTTGACTTGGATTGTGATGCCTCTCTGTGAACAGCTGGAGTGGCTTTTGTGTGCCTTTTTAATGCCCGTTTGTCACAGGAAGACCTATGGCATGAAGGCCTGTGGCTACGGTCGGAGGCTCCCACAGTAGCAACATGAGACTTGACAACAACAGCCAGAATGCCCACGGCTGGTGCAACACACAAAAAACACAACATCTACCACGACTGTGCATCAGGGGAACACTAACATGCACACACATTCCTATGCGTGCATTACATACTTCCTCGATGCACATTCCACGAGCGCACAAGGCAGCTTGGGCCTTAAAGCTCCCACTTTTAGTATTTATTGTTTTGTGAACACACTCACGTCACACATTCACGAATTAACCCCACTCACAGTTCAAATGTTAGGTGTTGTCAAGCAGTAAAGGTTTTGGTGTAGTTCTGTAAAAAAAAAAAAAAAAAAAAAAAACACCAGCTCTGAAATCAGGCTCTGTGTTTACCTTCAGCAATGTCCTGACAACAGGGGGAAGTCCATGAAGCTCTGTTGGGTTGTTTTGTTTCCACATGCAAGTGTTTGAACCCACCTACCTCTCCACCTATGCACTTCCCCACATACATTTTTATTTTTTGTGACCACAGACACACTCCATGCTCTTAAAAGAAAAAATGACCACAGAACCAGGTCAGTCGACCACAGCACTTTACTCTCTGCAAAGCAATAAAAGATCTGTGAGGCTTTGCCCATCCTCCAGACAGACAAACGTATTTCAGAGCAGCACCTTCTCACTTAGTAAGTGGAGGGAAAAGTTAGCCCATAGCTGAAGGTCAAAGGTCATTGCACAATTATAGAAATTGCTGTTCTGTAAAAGCCTCTTATGATATGAATGGTTTTAATTATTACCATTGATAAAAGATATTATTTTCATAGTTTTTCATTGTCAATTCCTCTCTTGCAAGGGAGCATGGTTATGTATATTATCTGTGTATAAATATTCGTCTTGAATAATACCCCTTTGAAGTAAAATTCCATGTAGCCTTTCTTCACATGTTGGTTTTCTAATATATTGAATGGATGTCTGCACCCTAATAAAAAAAAGCTGTGTTTGTAGCGACTGCCTGGGTTTTTATGGACACTGTGAGAAGTTGTATCCACCGTTAAAACTTTTGATTCAACTGAAAATATGACGTTACTGCATCCTAACATCGTACCCATCCACTACACTGAATCTTACTTGGACTCCTGGCTCCTTTTGTAATACGCTGTGACCGACTTCAAATTGCTCACATTTGCCATTTGTGGTCATCTGGTTGTTTCCTTTTTGCTGCTTCATCCACATTATAACTGTATCATCTCTGTGTGTGTACGGTTGTTCTGTTTTCTGGTAGCCAGATGTCCTACATCACTGGGGAGAGGAAAAAAAGGGGGAACTGAACAGCTGCAACACTGCGACTCTCACACACAGCGAGCATAAGATGTATTCACAGTATGTTTGGACTGTTACTTTAATTTACAGCTGCTCCCAGGTGGACGTGCATCAAGAGGAGCTTGACTGACATGATAGAAATGAGTGTCACTACATATGCTGGATGAGTGCTCAGTAGACGTCTGGGTAAAGATGTGAAGAGTCCTGTTCTCTCTTGAGCTACCGTCCATTTTACACTGAAGTGCAGTTAACACCAGTCATCCATCTGTTTGTCTCATCTGAGAGCAGAGAGATGGACCACTGTCCTGCCGGGTAGAAGTACTGACAACAAGCTGAGCTCCTAATAAGGAAGGGCAGGCTGGCCGAGGCACTCTCTCTGTAAATATCCCTCAGGTCTGAGAAAGACAGAGGAAGGGAGCTGGGGAGGAAGAGGGAAGCGGATGGATTGCAGCCTTATATGGACAAAGCACTGCTTTTCCCAGGGTTTGTGGCTCTGACCTCCGGCATAATGCCAGATGCTGCACAAACGGCTCCTCAGCGCCACCAAGTGGTGCCACTAATGAAATTCTACAGTTTAGCTGACAAATTGTAGTTTGTGGATTACAGTTATATTTTTGACAGCTAATGTTGAACGCTGCAGTTCACGGTTGGCAACCCTTGGGCCACAGTTTTAGAGGTGTTTACTATCAAAAAATAGAAAAATGTTGGTAGTAGGGCTGCATTAATAACCCCATAATGACAGCGGCAGCCCTGTCTGCAACCCCAACTCTAATAATAATAATAATAGAACATGAATTATATTTATTTGTGGAGCTGTAGAGGTTCTCGGCTCTGACTTCAAAGCTCTTTGTCCCAAATGAACATGTTCAGTTCAGTCATTATATTATCCCAGATGGAAAACTTGACCTGCAGTCAGGGGCACAAGATAAATATAACACAGTGCAGACAAAAAGAAAAATATAAAATGTTTCTTTAACCCAACACTACAACAGAGGATTGGTTGGATAAAGAATAAACCAAAAAGTTACAGCCAAAAAGGTAAAAAAAAAAAGGGTGGGGGGGGGGATTTAGAGCTCCTGGTAAGCAGAGTCGACATGGACATGATTTAGTTTGGAGAGAGTGACGTGATACTTCTTGGAAAAGATAGGATGAAAAATGTAAACACTCTCACTGTGACCTGGAGAGTATTTTCACTGTTTCAGCCAAGTGTTCCTGTTGTTTTAAATATGTACGCACCTGTAACAAGACTATAGAAACTCTCCTGATATATATGTATGTATGTATATATGTATGTATATATGTATGTATGTATGTATGTATGTATATACACATATATAGGGTAATATTGTTAAGATATTTGGTAGTTCATATCATACATATTCTGATTAGTTGACAACTCACTAAAATATACTAAGCATGTTCAATATATAGTGGTGTCCTACCTATTGATCCATTTCAGACAGACTTCACCCTCCTCATTAAATCCATGCCAGGTTTTCCAGCAGACCCAGAACCACGTCCTGGTTTTATTTGCAGCACACAGAGCTGCATGCATGGCTTCCTCCTACAGAACTGATACTCGACACTAACTCAACTTTATCAGCAACTTTTGAGTTCTTTGCTTTCACCAGACATTGACTGTGGAAGAAATTAGAGCACATAAGCTGTTTTTTAAAGAGGTTTAAGTGTAAAGAACAAGCGGTTTTGGAACTTTTACCTTCAATTTCCTTTTTTTCCAGCATTTTTCTTTGTTTGCAGAAACAGATGCTTCTTCCTGTTCACGTGAGAGTGAAACATTCCCACTGTAGTAATGTGTTAGAGGAATTATTCTGGGTGTTTATGCAGACTGATGCTGCTAACTTACAAGAGCCTGATCACTGAGATTGTATGTTTATTTATCTGCAAGTGGCTGCCTTCAAAGTATTTTTTAAAAACTCAGAAATGATTAATTTTTATTAATGAATGAGGATAAAGTATTTGCCCTGTAGTTAACAGTTATTGTTTTTGCAAGTGGCTTGTTTTGTTTACTCTCTGTTCACCTGTTTGCATGATGAAGTCTTAGGAAAACAAGTCTTGTGACACAAAAGTGTCAAAGTACACAATCTACAAATAGCCTTTACTGGCAGGAACCTGTTAAAAGTGTGTGTGTGTGTGTGTGTGTGTGTGTGTGTGTTGTTCATCATCAGTAAAAACCTTAAGTAGTGTCTCTTATTGTTGCATGGAGAACTTGAAACATGTAATATTGCATAAAAACACCACATAACCGTTATAATCTCACTGCTAATTTATATTAAGTGGAATAATCTTTCATTTTTCAAGAACTGGGACCATCACAGCGAACCCTGACTGCATTCAGAGAACCAGACTACTTCGTCCAGTTTAAGCTTTTCAAGTAAAGATCTCCTCCTCGCCATGTCCTGTGAGTCAGACCCTTACATCTTTACCACCGACACCCTACCCACTGACCTCCGCTTCCTCCCTCCACTGGCCAATGGGCTTCTGGGATGGAAGGTGTACAACAATATCATGCACATGGGTGGCGTGTACAACGGGGAGGGTGGACGTTGTCACCGAGCAGATGTCCCCTGTCCTCTAGCTGTGAAGGTGGAGTCAGAGGAAGCGGCCCAGCACTCCTACAGCCTAGACACCCACACAGGTGACGTGTTCGACTGTCTGGTTGCCAGGACTCGTGTTGCTGCTGATCTCATGTCATGCTGTGACGAGTCATCCCTGCTAATTGTCTCATCTGCTCTTCCAGGCATTTTTACCCACACTCTGACCTCAGCAAGTGTGACCGTCTCCCAGTCTTTGTATTCGCACCGGTACTACTCCAACCTGATGGTGATGGAGGTTCTGTTGGTGCGTCAGGTGACTTCGGAGGAGCCAATCACCGTTAAGCTGGTCAGTTCATTCACACCTCAGAGCAAAGACATCGTATTCGAGTCTGGTCCCGATTACAAAGGAGGAAGGTGAGGTTGGTAAAAACGTGTAAAATGCACATTTGTGACTGTATAGTAAGAGTATGACCCAGTCTACACTCCTCTCTCCCTCAGGCACATCCAAGGAAAGACGAACAGTGCTGAGTTCCCTGGAGGTTCCTGTCCCACAGTGCACCTTATCTGGACCCCCGTGCCCTCCACTCTGACTCTGCTCCCAGAACAGAGCCAGTCTCGCTGGGGCTTTGTCCTGGTCGTGGCCAACAGTTTAGACACTGCTGAGGCTGGTTTTGATGAGGGCCTGGATCTGATGGCGACCGGTAACCTGCGTCCGTCTCACGAGAAGGCCTGGAAAGAACTGTGGCTGCAGAGCAAGGTGGAGGCGACGGGCTCAGAGAGCCTCGGCAAGGCTCTGATTGGCTGCATGTTCTACCTCCTCAGCGCCTTCCCCTCCATACATGACACCTCCAGCTCCTTTGGCGGGGTCAGTCCAGGCGGGCTGTCTAATGGTGGGGATGGTCAAGACTACTGGGGCCACGTTTTCTGGGATCAGGTATTGCTAGCTATGTTATTTGCATGTTAGTTAGTTTGGGTTGTTTGATGTATGACACAATAACTCTACCTTCCTGCGTCAGGACATTTGGATGTATCCGGGTATCGCCCTTTTCTATCCCAAGCTCGCCCGATCTGTGCTGCAGTACAGGGTCGGGACTATAGATGGCGCAAAAGACAACGCACAAAAGCAGGGATACAAGGTATGATCAGTGGGACAGGTGACACCATCAAACAAAGTTATTAACGTTTTGTATTTTTCATTCTGTTTTGTCATTTTGATTTTTAGTTAGTTCAGTTTCCAGAGCGGGTATTTGCTTGTTTCAGTTGAGTTTTATAATTTTTTATAGTTATAGTTTTAAATATTTACTTTTAGTTTAGTTTTTATTAGCTTCAGAAGAAGAAATCCAGTAATCCAGGTAATACAACACCAACACATTGACTAACAGTCACATAGACATCCCAGTCTCAATATACATGTGCACTAATGCCTCCTCATCCTCCAAATTGACAAATACTAAAACAAAGTATAGTTTGTATATTATTATTTTATTTTGGTTAGTTTTACACAATATCATTTCACTAGTTTTAGTCTAGTTTCTATTCTATTCAGTTAATTAATTTTCATAGCTAGATTTAAATTTAGTTTAGTTTTAGTGAACTATAATAACCTTTGCCATCAAGCCCAGCAGCCAACTCATGAAACTAGAATTTGTTATTTTTGTATTTCCGTTTGTATACAGATTAAACAAACAAGATACAAAATGTCAGTCAGTCAGTGAGCGTTAGAAAACCTCACATGCATTTTGTTATTTGGACAGAGCCAAGTTTCAATTCCATTGACAGTGTAAAGCTTTCTTCCCCAAAACTATCCCCACCGAAAGAAGTCTGCAGAATAAGCAAAACACTTAACAATTACCTTGAAAGTATTAGCAACACATTAGCCTCAAACAGCTAACATAAAGGCTAGCGTGGTTAGCACCAATCTGCAGATAATAGTTCAGTGTCTTTGGTGTTTGATGCCTTAGGGACTGTATGACTGTATTATTACGTTTGCGTGCGTATTCTTCTTGTTCTACATTCAACAAACAACGTCTTCCAAAGAAAAGATAATATCTTTACAGGGAATAAAGTTCCCGTGGGAGAGCGCTGTGTCGGGGAGGGAGGTGTGTCCAGAAGACATTTATGGACAACAAGAGATTCACATAAACGGAGACGTCACTCTGGCCTTCCAGCACTACCTCTACCTCACTGAGGTATACTCTCTGATCGCCACCACATTGTCTCACCCTGTGTGACGACGTTAACTGAGCTCTGTATTGCAGGACCTGTCCATGTTCACACAGGGCCAGGGCAGTGAGGTGATATACGGTGTGGCTGATTACTGGGTTTCTAGAGTTACCTGGAACCCAGACGACCACATGTATCATCTCACGGGTAAAAGACCGTTATTAGAAAGATTACTCTGAATTTATTGAGCTTTACTTGGTTATCAGGCAAATTCTTCAATAATAGCTAAATTAAAGACTAAAATTGTCTGCCACTTATCTCATTAAACAGACTCAGCGTTCTTATTTCATTCATTTATTATTTTTACATGTTTATTTTCTATATTTATACACACATACTTTTATACCTTAAGCCTTTGTGGCTAACTTCAAAGCATCTCTGCATGATATAAATTGAATCATTATCATATCGTAGCATCAATATTGTTTTATTGAAATATTTCCCTTTTGTGCCGTTTAGGTGTCATGCCGCCCGATGAGTATTATTACAATGTCAACAACTCTGTGTACACAAACACGGTGGCCAAATTCAGGTACTAGTATTTGAATATTTCCCTGCAGTGCACATTAACTCATGAATACCAATAATACAAAACGTTTCTCATTCGTCAGTCTCCAGTTCGCCGTAGAATTGGCTGCCCTCCTCCAACATCCTGCACCGAAGGAATGGCAAGAAGTTGCCAAACACCTAAAAATACCTTTCGACCAAGAAACCCAGTACCACCCTGAGTTTGATGGCTACATTAAGGGTAATTATTTTGTTCTTTTCTGGCCTCCGTAATAAGTAATCAAGAGTCCATAACATGATGTCATGTCTTTTGGACCTTTCGTAGGTCATCCAGTGAAGCAGGCAGACACAGTGATGTTGGGATATCCTCTTGGACTGCCGATGACCCCAGAGGTCAGGAGAAATGACCTTGAAGCCTATGAGCCAGTAACAGACCCTCAGGGTCCAGCCATGACATGGGTACGACACAGCATGTTGTATGGTCAGCACAAAGCTGGTGTATTATATATATATTATATATATGTAATGGCAAATGCACTTTTTAAAAATATACACTGATTACATGATTAATAATAATAATAATAATAATAATATAGCAATTTCCTTAACAGTGTTACAGATTTCTCTACAGAAAACAATCAACATAACTAAAATAGATAAAAACAAAACGATTATAAAGGATGAAACCAGCAGATGAAATAAAGTTAAAAAGTGAAATGGCAAGAAGGGAATGATAAGAAATGATAGAAACCTGCCAAGTTATTAACCTTTCTGTAAAATATTTTCAATATTTTATGTTAAGACTGGATCTGGAAATGAGTATGTGTATGTGAAAGCAGTTGTTTGTAGTGACGAATGCAGAGAGAATTATCACCCAGCTCTGCAGTTTCCTCTCACCTCCACAGAGCAATTTTCAGCTAATTGCTTTTTGTTTTACAGCAACTTTATTGATTGACTCTCATCAGCATCGTTTTCAGCTGGTTTCAGCTAAAATGCTGATAAACTTGCTAACTGCTCTGCACCAAATAGGTCAGGGGTTAAAAACAGAGCTAAAAAGAGACTGAATATTGCACTAACATTTACCATCATGTGTAAATAGCCAACTGTTTGCTCACACATCAACTTTATAAGGTGATAATATATCAGTGTTGTATTTACTGCTTGTTGCACTGCCCATTTGTGGCCAGAGAATACATTAATGTAGTTTTAAAGAACCAAAAATGTATTTAAAGAATCAAAAGTTATTGTTACGCAGCATATATCAATGTTTTATTGTATAGTCAGTCCCTCCAGGATTATGCTGGATTTCAGTTTTTCTAAAATGATTTGTGATGCATGTTTTGATTTTTTTAAGCATTTTTTTTGCAATGACATTGCAGGAGAAAGTGAAAATTGCAAAAATAGTAGCTGTTTTTGGTTTATTTCGTTAAAAATTTAAGGCAACTTGCTCAGGTGTGAATAAAATCGCAAGCAGTTTGGTGACGAATGGCTCAAAGTTTTGTACAGGGGAAACTGATATGATTGGTGAACGTCTCAGGAAAAGAAATTATTGATTGTTTGGTTGGATTTGCGCAGAATTGCAGCTTTGTGAAAGGTCATAACAGCTCATCACAGGTTTTTATTAAATCTTAAAATTTCAATTTCTATTTTATTTGTATAGCGGCAATTCATAACAGAAGTTATCTCAGGACACTTTTCAAATAGAGCAGGTCTAGACCGAACTCTTTATAACATTATTTACAGAGACCCAACAGTACCACCATGAGCAAGCACTTGGTGACTTGTTAAAAGGCAGGAACCTAGGACAGATCCTTCGGCTCTAGGTGGGTGGTCGTCTGTCTCGACCAGTTGGGGTGGAGAGAGAGAGAGAGAGAGAGAGAGAGAGAGAGGTGCACAGCAACAACAGTAACAACAACTACACTAATAGTAGTGACTGATGATGAAGAACATGACAGCAACGATGGGGGACAATGAGCAGTGACAACAGTAACCGTAGCGATAATAATACTTATAATAATAATAACACTAATGTCAGTGATATTGGCAATGGCAGTCAAGCAGGACCATGGCAGGAGGCTCCACCAGGATCCATGAGAACCTGCGAGACGAGAAAGCACAAGAACTCCGGGGAAGAAGTAAAGTTAGTAACATGCATTAATGGGACATGAATCAGTGCAGAAAGAGAGAGGAAGGGAGGAGCTCAGTGCACCATGGGAAATCCCCCGATAGTCTAGGCCTATAGCAGCATAACTAAGGGATGGTTCAGGACTCACCTGATCCAGCCCTAACTATAAGCTTTATCAAAGAGGAACGTCTTAAGCCTACTCTTGAATGTGGTGAGGGTGTCTGCCTCCCAATGCATCAAAAGTATACTTAAGTAAAAGTATCAATAGTTATCATACATTTATTGTGTTTATTAGCTGCTTGTGTTACACATATTTTGTGTATATATTTTTTAAATATGTTTTACAGTGTCTCCTTGCATTGAAAGTAAAAACCTGTTACTTCTTCATTAATTAGTGTATGTTTGCACCGATGCTTTTACTTTGTAAGGGTATGTTTGCGATCGGCTGGCTGGAACTGGGGGAGGCTGAGAAAGCTCACAAATTACTTGAGAAGTGCTTCAAGAACATCCAGGGGCCGTTCCAGGTATCCACACACACACACACACACACACACACACACACACACACACACACACACACACACACACACACTAACACACACACACACACACACACACACACACACTAACACATACCTCTTCATCAAATACTCAGTGAAATGTGTGATTACCTCCGCTCACAGGTATGGAGTGAATCATCAGACGGCTCCGGTGCAGTCAACTTTCTCACGGGTATGGGAGGATTCCTGCAAGCTGTGCTCTTCGGTTACACTGGCTTCAGGTCCGTTATCAGTCCTCCCGCCACGCACAATTCAAATCACACCCTGATATACACAGCACACACAAATATTGACATACTGTGTTTTTTTTTCTAGAGTTCAGAAGGAATGCCTGGCCTTTTCCCCACTACTCCCCAATGATATTTCTGAGCTCTGCATCCGTGGCGTGAACTACCTGGGCAGTCAGATGGACTGGCTGCTGAGGAAAGAGGAAGTTTGTATCATACTGAGGGAACAGGCTGGCAACGCTAAGTCCTACGATCTACAGGTTGTCCTGAAGGCATCAGGGACGAAACTCCCTCTCACGCCAGGTAACACACAAGCAAAGACCTGCAGTGATAGCAGGTCATTTCTGTTCATTTTTTAGAGTTATTATGCAATAAAACTGAAAATTTTTACAAAAAGAACACACTTCACAGTACAAACTACAGCCCAAGAAAAGACAAGCAAACTGTTTATACATTACACTAACACGTTTCATAAAAACAGTACATGAGGTCATATTTAAGGCACTAAGACTAGTCTTGAACTGCATGTTTTTATTTTTTTGCAACTCCAAAAATGGCAACATCTGTCTTATCCAGGGAGAAATTATAGAGAGCACTCGCGCTCTCACCATTTAACACTCCCTCCAGGGTTTAACTGGCTTTTTTAGGGATTGTTGTGGCCTAAAATGTCCGATTTCACAGCAGCTTTTCTAAAACAAATTGCAATGCATGTTGTCGTGTTTTCAGGCACTTTAGTTCAATGGCAACTTGTTCCAGTGAGAATAAAATCACTTGTTTGGTGCTGTGTGGCTATATGTTTTGTGTTGGGGAGTGCTATGATAGGTGAAACTTGTGGGAAAGTTGCACTGAATTTGCGTTAATTGTTGCGATCGCAAAACATTGCAACTTCCTGGAGAGAATGATTTAATAAGAGTGGCAAAAAGACAAACGTTAATTACCATGATGTCCTGTATCAAGACTTCCATAAAGCTGAGAAACCCTGGGGGCTCCAGGGGTTGTCAGTGACCTTTACAGAGTGACGTCCCACATGATTTCATTATACCGTGTGTAGGAGTGAATCTGTGGACTGTGATGGCTGTTGTCGCACACGATTAATCAAATATCAGTCAGAAACAGACTCTAGTGCAACTGCACCCGGATCTCAAATGGTACATGATGTAATCTATTACAGGAAATACTGAAAATGACCTGACAATAATTTATTCATATTGATGTATTTTCCTGTTTTTACTATAGTACTATATTAGCTTTACTTTGTTCCTGGATTGTATATCTTATTTTTCTCAATGACATTGATGTAGTCACAGATTATTATTAATTTACTTGTTCACGTCTATTTTCAGGGCAGCCAGTGACTTTTCCTCGAGAGCCTGGGTACATTTGTAAACTGGCTGAGACACCTTCCTGTTGGCCTTTCTGAAACAGCACCCATGACCATCCTGATCATTTCATTTACCCAGAATTAAAAATATGTTAAGCATTTGTTTTATATCTAAGGTACTATTAAGTTGTATGTTGCCATTCACTCGAGCACTCATTGACAGTGGGAGCACAAACAAGAATAAAAGGAATTTGTTTTGATATAATTAAAGCTGCAGTGGGTAACCTTTATACAAATTACTTTGACATATTTGCTGAAAGTTTCACTATATCCTGACAGTGCAAATACCATCAAGAGCACTAGGAGGAGCCAGAGGAACCTGATCTGTTCACAGATTATCTGTCTCATGTTCTACTGTCAGGATATAGTGAAAGTTTCAGCAAATATGACAAAAAGTATTTTTTATAAGTTACCTACTGCAACTTTAAAAGAAAATGAGGGTGTGCTCCTTTTTTCATTTTACAGAACGTCTAAAGTGCTCATGTATGTGAAAACACATGAAAACAATTTAGTTATTTCATAATTCAGTGGCCTACAAACATTTCTTGTAGGGCTGCACAAAATGGCAAAAATATCATATTGCAATTACTTTGAGAGATTTTGTGATATGATTCACGATTTCTGCGGTAATGATTTGTTTTTGCATCACAAATTAAATTTTTCACTTAAAAAAAAAATCAGTAAAATCATGATATTGTTATATTTTTTGAGTCAGTACGAAACATGTTAACAAGCAAGAACAAGATTTGTTGGCCAGATCTTCTCTATTTCATTATAACGCTATTTTGTTACATTTTACCTGCATCATATTGCACTTGGCCATATGGCAATTTCACTAATTTTTGGATTATCTGTGCAGCTCTAATTTCTTGCAGTTTATTTGAGCAATCTGGTGTTATAATATACCATGTTATGAAACCATTAACCAATTATATTGTCATGCAAACGAAATATATTCAAATAAAACTTCTTACATTCTCCATTTTCTGTCTCTTGTGGGTTTTTGTTAAGCAGCAAGCAAATCAGATAACAAGTGTTGACCTTACTTTGGTGATCTGGACCACCACAGCCTTTGTTGTGAGACTGATCCCTGCAGCCTGTTTCCTGGATGTCCTGCAGGGAGGCAGCAGTCTGCAGGGAGAGGGTGGGAGGAAGGACGGAAAGAGGTCATCAGAGGAAAAAACACAGTTCATGCCTCTCAAACTGCCCCACCGGGGTTATAATTTAAGATTAAAATATATTTATTGTGTTTTGTGTTATAATTAATGAGAAAGCAGGAGATAAACTGTCAAACATACATGTGTTTTAGTATGGTGGGCGGGGCGGAGCAAATCCTGCCAAACACCAATTGGTGGATTTAAATCTGAGCCGCGCTCTAACTCCGCCCTGATTTCCGTTGGGTGTGCTCGATTTGAGCATTCCGCACTCCGCGTCATCGCTGGCTGTGGTCCCGAACGTCGGAGTCCGCCCCTCGCGCACGATCTCAAACACCAAATCGAACAGCCCACCCACTACGTCACTGAGCCTCGCCTCGGGATTGGCCGGTGAAATTTTGAACCAGTTAAACGGTTTCAGCGCGGAGGCTCGCGGTTACCGTCCGGGATCAGTCACACTGTGAGGAGTTTACACGAGCTGTGAAGGGAAAGAGGAAACTCCTTCATTTAATATTATACACATTTATTTTAACTTCAACATGAGTTTGATCGAAGTGTTTTAATATCAGCGGAGCAACGAGCATCGGATTCCTCTTCTTAGCAACGCGGATATCAAAGGTAACGCGAATTGTTTTGACACCATTGTTTTAAGATATTAGAACAAGAGCAAGTTAAAGTTAAAATGTTAATGCCATGTCAGGTAAATGTACTGATCGTGTCTCTAAGTAACAGTTATCACAGTCTTGGAGCAGCACTTAACATTATTAGACTGTTTGTAGCTCCTCGGTCGCATTTGAGCTAAGCTAATGTGTTGCCTGGGAAACGTTAGATAGCTAAATTCTGTTCACACAATAAAACCCAGGTTTTAATTTGGGTAATGTTAATGTAATCTGTTTTATTTACACCATGTAGCAGCGCTGCTGTAACATGAAAACAACTAGCGTTATGTTACTGTCGACCACACTGTTATTAAATAGCTAACAGCTCCTGTACAGCCCATAGCCATCCGTCCACAAGATAGAAACACACTGCGCATGCACCGACTACACTTAAAACACACACACACACACACACACACACACACACACACACACACACACTCACTCACTCACTCACTCACTCACTCACTCACTCACTCACTCACTCACTCACTCACTCACTCACACACACTCTACATATCAATGTGACATTTGTTATTATGTAAAGAGGACTACACAGCGGCCCAACCTTTTTACCTTAAGGGACCCTTTTCTGTCATTTAGTGAACTGATGTAATGTAATATTTATTTTATGGATGCAGTACAGTTAACCCAAATACTAAAAGGAGTGAGTGAGGAGGAGGAGGAGTTTGGATGAGCAGATTATTTCCTGTTTAGGCAATAAAATTCTGTCTGTGTTATGTATTCTTTTATAATCTTTAATCATACAGACTTAAAAAGCTTATTTTTTGACAAATTCAGTGTTTTCTTGTCCCTAATGCTTGGCCATTGTTCAATTTACTTTACATTTCCTCACAGAAGGGAAACTAATGCTGAGATATTGACCGGCTGTGTATATTTTCTAAGCTTTCTAGCACGCCTTAAAAATCAAGAAGGTCCTGCAACTCCCGGGTTGGAAAGCACTGGATTAGGCAACATTTTACCCAGAATTGGCTTTAAGTGACATTTTGATTGTTTAGTAAGGTTGTTTGTTTGTGTGAGATGTTAAAGTCTAGTTAACCTTAAATGGAGCTATAGGTGTGTGCCTTATACCTCAGGGCCCCTTTTTATACATAAGGACAATTTACAATATTGACTATCTGGCTTTAATGGTAAATACAATTGTCAACTTTAAAGTATCAATAGTAAACAGTATGTCTGCATCAATTCAGATAAAAAAAAACAAGGACTTCTTTACAGGTTTTTTTTTAATTGTTAAACACACATTAACAACATACAAGAACTCGTGTAGAATACATAAATGTAATATAAGCTCATATGTTATGAGGGGGAAAGGGAATTAAAATATGGGTGATTACTATAAAGATCTATATGGAAACATAACAATAGACAATTATATACACAACTTCAGATTTTTCTTCAGATCACTTAAGATACAATTATCTGTCAATACCGGCCTCAGTAGTAAGGGTTTTTATGAATGGGGTGTAGTCACAGTTGTAGACTCTAGTTATTGGTGCATTACTAACTGTAAGTGCTTTTTTTGACAAGATTTTTCAAGGTTGCTGTTAATACAACAAGTGCGTTCAAATAGTCGTGCTAAAAGGAAAATAATGACATTAAAACATAAACAACCACTCTGTTCTTTGTGGCCTGTACACTGATGCAATTAATTAGTTTTTACTATCTCAAGTCTGTTCCAGCTTGTCAGGATTTAACGGTGTGATCTTTCCCTCAGGCCGTCAACATGAACTCCGTACTATCATCTGTACGATCCCTCATGCAGATGTTCGATGGCAAAGCTCAAGAATTCAGCAGTGACATTGACAATGTCCACATGGTTTGGCTTGAAGAGATCCAACAAGAAGCCAATCGCATGTTCTCAAGGTACGCTTGAAGTAATGTTATGAAAACTGATTTTAGGTTTCTAGTTTACATCTTCATAAATCTGTTGTTCTTCTCTAGAATTGTCTTTTAAGGTTTTACTAATGAAGCTGTTTCTTTTTATTACAGAGATTTTAATGCTGAACCAGAATTGATGCCAAAAACGCCATCACAGAAAAAGAACAGTCGCAGGAAGCGTGTGTCGTTGGGCCGTCAGGAAGAAAATCAAGCCAGGCGAAGGTTTGTTACCTTCGTTACTGTTTTTATTTAGTAAAGGCTAAATCCACATTTTTTTAAAAGCATATTGAGCCTTTTGTAACTCTAAATAAATGTTCCCTTCCTGTACAGATTTTCAAAGGGAAAGCGCAGCAACCTTCGCGGCTCCTCTGTCAAATCACTGAACTTCATTGCTGAAGAAGAGGCTGCAGCCGAGGCCTCCACCTCTGAAGCCACCGCACAGCCTAAACGCGCCACGCGCAAAAACAAACAAAGGAAATCTGAGGTGGCGGAGGATGTGAGCCAGTCACCTCACGGCAGCAGTAAAACTGAGGAGGTGGAGAACAAGAAGCCAGAGCTGGTAGAAGAGGAAGAGATGTACAAAAGTAACGCTGTGAACAATGCAGAAGTCAAGCCGGTCTACATGTGTAGCACTACCCCGCCTCCACCGAAGATACCTTCCCCTGAGGTCGTTGTCAGCATCTCTCCAACAGACCGTCTGTCTGCTGAGCTCGCTAAAATGCCAGAGCCTTCTCCTGGCCGCACAGCTGCTAAGATTGCAATAGCCGGCACATCTCAGAGCTCACGACGGAGCTCCGTACGGTGCTCACTCAAGCTTCGCCACTCGCTGGCCGGTCTGCGGCACAGTATGACTCAGGAGTCTGTTCGCCGTGCCTCACGCCGCTCCATGCTTAAGAGGAAGGTTTCTCGCATGAGCAGCTCCACATGTAGCAGCAACATTGATGGTGAGAGATGAGCCACACTGGCATATGCTTACACTGATTCTTGTTATTCTGTATATTATATTTGACGTTTGTTCTTTCTGATTGTAGAGCACTCTTGCATTGACTCTACAGAGGAAGAGGACAGAGAGCCGTGAGTAATGACTAAAAAGTCTTCTTTGCATCAATTGTTGTTTTGTTTTAGAATATATATTTATAGAGATTGGTAAATTTGTCTACTTAACTGTAGCTACATGTGACTGGACAGGAATTCAGTGTTTTATTTGAAAGTGTTTCTAACTCATATTAATGTATTCACTTCTATAGCATGTTAGAAGCAGTAACTGCTGACATGGAGGATAATGCTTCAGCTGAAGAATCAAAGGAAACCTCAGAGGTATGAGTATACGTCTTTGTATATTAAGTGTCAAATTGAAATTCAATTTATCCGTTGGTTATTAATACATTGCATTATTTACATCAAAACAGAAAAAGAAGACCCAGACAAACCAGGGTGTACATCCATCTGTTGCACGTGTTACTCGATCTGTGGCTGCAAACTCTCCCACACTGGCACCCCCATCGTTGTTTACCACTGAGCAAAATATGAACACTCCCAACAGGAAAACAGGTATGGGAACTGTCCATTTTAGTTATTGGTTATTGTGTAAATTAGATATTTATAATTAATAGTTCTTGTTGAATATTAACAGTTTTGTACCAAAAAGCAACTTGTATGCATTAAATACCTGTTTGTGTTTCAGTTGTCACTGAGAAGCAACAGACTTCCCAGTCACTTCGGAGGTGAGTGTGTGTCTGTGTTGGTCTAAATGACACACGAGAGGTTACTTTGATGTTAGGACTGATTGATACATTGATGCGTACATACATGCATACATACATTCATTGTTGTCTTTAAAAAGTGTTATTTCTGTGTCTCTAGGTCACGCCAGAGTACCAAACGCAAAGCACCAGATACTGTAGAGGAAAGTCCCACAAAGAGGTTGTCTCCTCCCAAGAAAAGTCAAAGTGTAAGGCGCAATGAAATGGAAAATGTAGGGATATATATATGTATGAATAAGAATGAATGGATTTGTAATCAACCTCTCCTTTTGTTATTAATACACAGGCAATCAGACCCAACATGAGATCTTTTCTCCACACCGTGCAGAAGAATCAGATGCTGATGATGACACCAAATTCCCTCGGCCGGACTGGTGTCATCAAGTCCTTCATTAAGCACACCACTCCTATGAAGATTGACTCTAAGGTAAGTTATACACTTAACACGGTGTGAAGTGTTCGAGCCTGACTGTGATAAAGAAGAACACAGCTGCAACACTAGCAGGCTGAGGAGTACCATAAAGAAAAAGAGAGGCTCTGATTTTGATCTGCTGATATATTTTAGCCCATACCGACCCATTAAAACCACCTTGAGATATCTCTACTTAATAACTAAAATTCTACTTGCTCAAAACAGGTGTGATAATGCAGTGAATTGAAAATAAATAGTATTTAGTATTGCTTATCACATATCTTAGTACTGTACATCCCATCAACCTGAATCTTTGAGAGTGAAATGTGCACGTTCTTATATTTGGAAAAAGTATTGTGGCTCAGATCTTTAAGTTATCAGATTTTGTGGTCCTCTTATTTGAATGTTTTTTTTTTTTCTCCCCTCCCCAGTTGAGCGTTGGTATAGTGGTAAGTGTAATGTTGAAGCACTGTATGTTGTTTGTGGGCATTTGGTGGTGTCTAATATCCCATTGTGCAACTTTATCAAATGTCTCCTTACTTACCACATACAGTACCTTAGACAAGCTCCTTTCGCACTTTCCCACATTTATACGTAAATTCTTCAGGCATTTATTTACAAGGGTCTTGACAGTTTGATGTCTGAATATCTGTTAAATTTGGGCTTCAGTGACAACAGGAGCAGCAACATTCCTGCATAAATCACTCAAAAAGTTAAA